ACCTTGTTTGATGCTTCTGCTTGGCCATTTGCTTGAGGATATGCTGGTGTAGAATTGTAGAATTCTATCTTGTATTCTTCACAAAAGCCTCTAAAGATTCTGCCATCAAACTGAGTGCTGTTGTCTGATATTAGGGCTTTAGGTATGCCGAATCGAGTAATGATATTCTGTCAGACGAACTTCTTCACATGTTTTTCCTTGATTGATGCTAATGCCTCTGCTTCCACCCACTTTGTGAAGTAGTCTGTTGCTGCGAGAAAGAACTTCCTGTTTTCGGGTGCTGTTGGAAGTGGTCCTACTATGTCCAAGCCCCACATTGCGAAGGGCCGTGGGCTGGTTAGTGATAGGAGCTCTCTAGTTGGCTGATGTATTTGGTGTGCGAACTTTTGACATTTCTCGCACTTCTTTACATACTTCTCCGAGTTTGCTTGCATGTAAGGCCACTAGTATCCTTGCGAAATGGCTCTGTAAGCTAACGATCTTCCTCCCTGGTGGCTTCCGCACACTCCTTCATGTATTTCGAACAAGAATGCTTCCACTTTGCTGGGGTGAACACACTTTAGATAAGGTCCTGAGAATGATTTTTTGTACAATGTCATAGAAGGGGAGAGCCAAAATCGCTGCGACTTTACTCTAATTTTGTTGGCTTCCTTCTTTTCTTCCGGTAAGACGCCGTCTTTTAAGAACAGTATGATGGGATCCATCCATGAGGGGCCTAGTTCGGCACAACATACCTCTTCTGCTTCGGGGCCTTCAATGCTTGGTCTTGGTAAGTAGTCAATTAGCAACGAATGAAGGATGGATGTATCTGCCATTGAAGCAAAGCCTGCTAGTTCGTCTGCTTTGTTGTTTTCTTCCCTGCCAATCTGTTCTATCCTTACTGCTTCGAATCTTTTGATCTTGTTTCTGACTAAGTCTTGGTACTTAGCCATTCTGTCATCCTTTGCTTTGTAGTCGCCAAAAATTTGGTTTACCACCAGCTGTGAGTCGCTGTAGACCATTAGCTCGGTGGCCTTCATGTAGAATGCTGATTTGAGACTTGCAAGAAGTGTTTCATACTTCGCTTCGTTGTTTGATGCTGGGAAGCCAAGGTTGATTGCTTGCTCCACAACTAGGCCGTCTGGTGAGATGAGGACTATGCCAAGTCCCGCACCATGCCGGTTGGATGCTCCATCCACAAAGAGCTTCCACATCTCTCCAACGAACAATTTTCAGCAAGTAGAGGGATCAGATGATGCCATGGGGTCAAGAATGTTGCTGGTGTTTTCTTCAAGGTTCATGCTTACTGTTTGCCCCTCGTTATTTGGTTGAACCACGTTTTTATTTATTGGTGAGTCTTGGCTTGGTGTAGCATGGTTCGCTTCTTCCTTGCTTTCTTTACTTTGGTCTGCCTTGGGGTCTGACTGAGTATCTTGCACCGGGGGTTGCGCTATTCCGGCGTCAACTTCTATCCCTAGTTTGGTTGTGTCAGTCAGGTCGACTGGGCATATATGATGACTTCCTGGGGTGAATTCTGCGACAAAGTCTGCCAAAGCTCGGCCCTTTATCGCGGTTCTGGGTTGGAAACTGATGTCGAATTGTCCCAATTCTACTGCACACTTCAAGATTCAACCGGAAAAGTTCGCCCTCTCAAACAAAGCTTTTAATGGGAAAGCTGTGAGGACGACTACGGTGTGGGCGTGAAAGTAGTGCGACAACTTCCTTGAGGCCATCATCAAGGCCAAGGCCAGTTTTTCCAGTGACAAGTACCTTGTTTCGGCACCTAGCAATGTCTTGCTGACATAATAGATAGGCAGATGTTGGATTCCTTCTGCACGAACCAACACTGCACTAATTGCGTACTGAGAGACCGCCAGGTACAGGAAGAGTTCTTCTCCAGGTATAAGGGTGACAAGCAGTGGTGGAGAAGACATGCATTCTTTCAAGTTTTCCAGAGCGCGGTCGCATTCTTCGTCCCACTCGAACTTGGCTTTTAATGCTTGAAAAAATGGTCGTAGTCTGTCTGACGATCGGCTAATGAATCGGTTGAGTGCAGTTGCCATGCCGGTGAGATGCTGCACTTCCTTTACTAAGTTAGGCCTCTCCAGATCCTGAATAGCTTTGATCTGGGAGGGGTCTGCCTCTATACCCCGGTTGGTCACCGGGAAGCCTAGAAATTTGCCAGATCCTACACCGAACGCGCACTTAGATGCATTAAGGCGCAACTTGTGTTTCTTTAGAATCTGGAACATCTCACCTAGGTCCCTTAGATGGTCGTTCTCATCCTTGGTTTTGACCACCATATCGTCGATGTAAGCTTCCATTGTTCTGCCTAACAATGGCTCAAACATCTTGGTGACCATTCTCTGGAATGTTGCCCCTGCGTTTTTTAGGCCAAAGGGCATGACCTTGTAGCAATACAGTCCTCTTGGAGTTGTAAAGGACGTGACCTCCTGGTTTGGTTCGTACATGGCAATCTGATGGTAGCCTCTGTACGCATCCAGAAAGCTAAGTCGGTTGTGCCCCGCCGTTAGGTCTACCAATTGATCTATCCGTGGTAGGGGGAAGCTGTCCTTCGGGCATGCTTTGTTGACTGTCTTGTAGTCTATGCAAACGCGCTGTTTGCCGTTCTTTTTTGGCACCACTACAGTGTTGGAAATCCACCTGGGATAGTGTACTTCTCTGATTGCTCCTGCCTCCAGCAAGTTTCCCACTTCCTCTGCCACTATCTCTGCGTGGTGGAGTGTCGATCGGCTAGTTCGCTGTATAACTGGCCTGGCAGTTGGTGGACATTAAGTTGATGGCAGATGAAATTGTGGTCAATGCCGGGCATCTCATACAGCGTCCAGGCGAATACTTCGATGTTAGAGGTCAAAAATTCCATGATCTCTATTCTCTCGGTGCTGGACAGAGATGAGCCTAGCAAAAAGAACTTTTTTGGGTTCTTTTCATCTATCTTTACCTCTATTATTTTTTTTATGATCTTAAAATGGTTATAAATTCAATGGAAGTGTAACGAATCAGGACCTAATTTATCAAAGAAAGAAAGAACTAATGTGCAAGTTTGAATGTGTGCAGGACACACTCCGGGAGGAAGTAGCACGTCGTCCCAACACTGTGAGTAGTAATATGGTTTACATGTACCTAATGATTGTCATTAGCATCTTGTTCATACACGATATGTAATTACGTTCATGTTTTGACATGTGTATATAAAGAAATGGGGAAGATGAAGTGTTTTCAATCTTTAAGATTATGGGCCTTTGGCCATACGATATAAGTAACTACGTTATGAAACAAAGTGCTACACGGGACTAAGTGCAACAACGTGAGTCACAGCTAGAACCCATGTTAGACACCTCTTGAGTTCATACAAGAAGTTACAAGGGCTTAATGCCAAGTTACAAGGGCTTAACGCCAATTTACAAGGGCTTAATGCCAAGTTACAAGGGCTCAATGCCAATTTACAAGGGCTTAATGCCAAATGATTCAAGGCCTCCATGCCAATTTATTCAAGGGCCTTACGCTACTATGTTTACGGGCTTCGTGCCACCATGATTAAGAGTTTGTGCCACACTAGACAAGGGCTTTAAGCCAAAACATTATGTTCAAGCCAATATGTCCCAAGATAAGTTCTAAGGCCATTATGAATAAGTACAGATTCAGACTCGCTATATGAATGTTGCATTAGTATACGAAAGTACATGTTTGAAGTTTTGGATATCAGGTTGGAACTTTAATTAGAATTTTAAAATTTCAGAAATTGCATGGTCCGCTCGAGTGGGGAAATTCCCGCTCGAGCGTAAAAATTAACCTTTCAGTAGTTTTCAGACTTTTCACTGTCTGCTCGAGCGGGGGAATTCCCGCTCGAGCGTAAAAATCGACCTCCCAGCATTTTTGTTAAATTGTACAGTCCGCTCGAGCGGCAAAATGGGCGCTCAAGCGGGGATCCATTTTCAGAATCATTTGGGAAGTTGCATTTAGTTCATATTTATATCCACATCTCCTTCCAAAGTGTTTTAGACATGATTTGTGGATCAATAAGTGTCGACAAGCTACGAATCTATATGTATTCTTTTACTATGACTCAAGTTAGGCATTACTTTAGTTATGTATTACTATTCACTGAGCTTGGCTCACCTTTTCATATGTCTGTTTCTGTAGGTAACCAACCCGGAGGTCAGCCCTGACCCAGGATGTCCATTCTTTTTGTCAACCTTTCTGAGTCCGGGCATTAGACGAGACTACTCATTTTTGTGAAGCTTTGCTAAGATGTTAACTTGTATTTTAACTACTCATTAAGATTGATTGAACATGACTTAAATTTTTTTATAATTGCCCTTCCTTAGGGCTGGGACTGTATACGTATGTATGTAACTGACGCTTAACGTATAATTTTGGCTTGTAACTGTTTGTTCTAATGTTCATGATGCACGTGATCCTAGCATATTAGAGGTAGCTCGATGGAGTTTGGTATATTATTTTAGTTCTAATGCTTCCGTTAAGGCCCCGTATACTATGTATGCTAGTGTATGTGTCCGTTTCCGTATAGGTCATGCCCAAACTTTTAGGGGCGGGTTAGGGGCGTGACAAGTGGTATCAGAGCACGAGTTGCTATCTCACACACGGATCCATTGAGCTCTAGGGTGTCTAGAAAAGTTTTAGGCATTTTGCATGACATCTTGCAAGTATATGAAAGATCGATGGCAACGTTAAGAGTACTCTGATAAGGCTAACACTTTCAAATATGTTTATTGTATATAAATGCTTGTTGTGTAGGCAATGGTGAGAACAAGGACAGAAGATGTGGAAGATGCTACTACTGCACGGTTGGATAGAATGGAGAGAATGATTATGGAAATGGCAGTGACCTTACGGCAACAGCAGCAGCAATAGCCACAACAGCAGCAACAGCCACAAGAACAACCGCCACCACCACTGGTACCTCCACCGGCAGTACAAGACCTCCAAGCTGAAGATCGAACTATTACCCTTATCAAAGAGTTTAAAAAGATGAAACCACCGTCCTTCAAAGGAGGAATAGAACCAATGAAAGCTGAAGCATGGGTGTTGGGAATAGAGAAGTTATTTGAAGTCTTTCCTTGTACCGAAGCTCAGAAGGTGCAATTGGCTGCATTCACTTTTGGGGATGAGGCGCAGAGATGGTGGATGCTTACGAGAACTATACATCAAGGATTGACATGGGACAGGTTATTGGAGATATTCTATGATAAGTATTTTCGACAAAGTATGCAAGATAAAAAGGTGACTGAATTTGAAACCCTCAGGCAAGGGAACAAGATTGTTACTGAGTATGAAGCTCAATTTGCCGAGTTGGCCCGGTTCGCACCTCACATGGTGGACACGGACTATAAGAAGGCACGGAAATTTGAAGGGGGATTACGGGGTGCTATTCTGGACCGAGTTAATATGTTGAAGCTGCCTACCTATGGAGAAGTGTTGGAGAGGGCCGTTATAGCAGAAGGGAATATCGCTGCACAAAACCGAAGTTCTGAATGGAAGGGGAAAAGGCAAAACAGTCAATGGTCGAAGGGGGCAACTACTTCACCAAATAAGAAACAAAATTCAAGGACTTCAAATGTTTCTTCCCCTAATCAAGATTCGGTTCCTGTATGTGTAGAGTGTGGAAAGAGGCACCGTGGGATATGTTATCGGAAGTCTGGAGCCTGCTTTCAATGTGGAAAGACGGGCCATGTGATAAGGGATTGCCCTCAGAGGAAGCAGTAACAAAATAGCAACAGGACTGCTACCAGCTTAACGGGGTCTGCACCGACTATCAATACCAAGGCACCGGTCAAAGCTACTAACAACAAGGACACCGCGAGACAAGGTAGGGTGTTTGCATTGGTTCCGGGAGATGTGCAAAAGGTGGCGACAGTGGTGTCAGGTACATTTACATGGTTCACGGTCATTCTGCTTGTGTATTGTTTGATTCCGGTTCTACCCATTCTTTTGTGTCAAAGCTATTTACTCCTAATTTAGATATATCTAAGGAAGCATTATCTTATATGCTGTGTGTGTCTTCACCATTGGGAGATTCTATGATTTGTACTTCTATATATGCTGCTTGTGAACTCGACCTTGGGGATATTCGGGTATACGCTAACTTAATACCTCTCGATATGTTGTATTTTGATATTGTACTGGGAATGGACTGGTTGAGTGAACATAGTGCAACTATAAACTGTTTGACTAAGCAAGTGAGTTTTCACCCTCCGGGTCAAGCAAAATCTATATTTCAGGGACAAGAGGTGACTTCCCCACCGTATTTGATTTCTGCAGCAAAGGCTTGTAGATTAATTCAGAAAGCGTGTCAGGGGTATCTGTGTAGTGTTGTGAAAGAGCAAATGGTGAATGGGGGTACTGACATAATCCCAGTTGTTCGTGAATTTCCGGACGCCTTCCCAGAAGAGTTACCAGGGAAATTGATAGACCGAGAAATTGAGTTTACGATTGAAGTGACACCGGGAACTCAACCCATTTCTAAGACCCCGTATAGAATGTCACCAGTTGAGATGAAGGAATTAAAACTTCAATTGCAAGATTTACTTGACAAGGGATTCATTCGTCCAAGTGTGTCTCCGTGGGGTGCACCAGTTTTATTTGTGAAAAAGAAGGATGGAACACTCCGGCTTTGTATTGATTACAGGGAACTTAATAAGGTAACAATCAAGAATAAGTACCCATTGCCAAGGATTGATGATTTATTTGACCAGCTTCAGGGGGCACAAGTCTTTTCTAAAATCGATCTACGGTCTGGGTACCATCAATTAAGGGTCAAGGCTGATGATGTTGAGAAGACAGCCTTTCGAACTCGTTATGGTCATTATGAATTTCTGGTTATGCCCTTTGGAGTTACTAACGCCCCAACAGCCTTTATGGATTTAATGAGCCGCGTCTTTAAGCCTTATTTGGATGAATGTGTGGTGGTCTTTATTGATGATATTCTCGTTTATTCGAAGACTGTAGAAGCTCATGAGAATCATCTTCGGTTGATTCTTCAAACCCTCCGGGAAAAGAAACTATATGCAAAGCTGAAGAAATGTGAATTTTGGCTACTAGAGGTGGCATTTCTGGGGCATGTTATCACTAAGGAAGGAGTTTCTGTTGATCCACACAAGATTGAGGCAATAGTGAATTGACCAACTCCCACTAATGTGACTGAAGTGCGTAGTTTTATGGGGTTAGCCGGCTATTACAGACGGTTTGTTCAAGATTTTTCGAAAATTGTTATGCCGCTTACACAAATGACTTGACAAGGGGTTGCATTTGAATGGACAGAAGAACAGGAGTCTGCTTTCCAAGAATTGAAGACAAAGTTGACTATAGCACCAGTGTTGGCCTTACCTTCCGGTACCAAAGGGTTTGTAATTTACAGTGATGCTTCTTATAAAGGACTTGGTTGTGTACTTATGCAGAATGGAAGAGCTATCGCCTACGCTTCTCGTCAACTGAAACCCCATGAGAAGAATTATCCCACTCGTGATCTTGAGTTAGCAGCAGTCGTCTTTGCTTTGAAGATATGGAGACATTATCTGTATGGTACTACTTGTGAAGTATACACCGATCACAAAAGTCACAAGTACTTTTTTACCCAAAAAGAGTTGAACATGCGGTAGCGACGGTGGTTGGAACTTATTAAAGATTATGATTTGCAGATTCATTACCATCCTAGTAAAGCCAACACCGTTGCAGATGTGCTCAGTCGGAAAAGTATGGGGACTATGGCAAGTATGGTTACAGGGCAAAAGGAATTGGCAATTGAATTGGGTAAGATGGAATTAGACTTTGTGCTATATGGCCAAGAAGCTTTAATGGCAGCAGTGAGGGCCCAACCAACCTTACTTGGGGAAATTAAATTACATCAGATAAAGGATGAAGCTCTAAGGAAGATATGTGATGAGTTAGGAACTAAGCCGAGATCGGGATTCAGTTTAGTCGATACGGTGCTCAAATATCAAAACCGCGTATGTGTCCCCAATGTGTTGAACCTTAAGCAAAAGCTGATGGGAGACGCACATACCTCAAAGTTTTCAATGCATCCAGGGAGTACCAAAATGTACCGAGATTTGAAACAAATTTTTTGGTGGCCAAGTATGAAGAAGGAGATCGCGGAGTTTGTCTCTAAGTGTTTGCAATGCCAGCAAGTAAAGGCGGAGCATCAAAAACCTGCCAGTTTGTTACAACCCCTTCCTATCCCGGAATGGAAATGGGAACATCTGACCATGGATTTTATTGTGGGGTTACCACGGACTCCTCGAGGTATGAATTCAATATGGGTCATAGTAGACCGATTAACTAAATCCGCTCACTTCCTACCAGTAAAGACTCGGTATAATGCAGATAAACTGGCAGTAATTTACGTGAATGAAATTGTGAGGCTTCATGGTGTTCCAGTTTGAATTGTGTCAGATAAGGACCCGAAGTTTGTTTCCAGATCCTGGCAAAGTTTACAAGAAGCAATGGGTACGGAATTAAAGTTCAGCACAGCATTCCACCCTCAGACCGACGGTCAATCCGAGAGAACGATACAAACTTTGGAGGATATGCTCCGTATGTGTGTGTTGGATTTTCAAGAAAGCTGGGAATCCCATCTACCATTGATAGAGTTCGCATACAACAATAGTTACCACTCAAGTATCGAGATGGCACCCTATGAGGCCTTGTATGGAAGACCGTGTCGGTCCCCAGTATGTTGGTCTGAAGTTGGAGATAAATCCTTACTAGGCCTTGAAATTGTTCAGTTAACCACTAAAAAGGTCAGAATTATTCGAGAAAGATTGAAAACTGCGCAAAGTAGACAGAAAAGTTATGCGGATAATCGACGAAGAGATTTGGAATTTGAAGTAGATAGTCATGTTTTTGTGAAGGTCACTCCGATGAAAGGACATCCAAGGTTCGGGAAGAGGGGCAAGTTAACACCTCGGTATGTAGGTCCATTCCAAATTTTGGAGAAAGTAGGTCCGATAGCTTACCGAGTTGCCCTTCCGCCGAATATGAGTCAAGTACATAATGTGTTTCATGTCTCTATGCTTCGCGGATATCTCCCGGATCCGTCTCATGTTATTGACTACCACCAAATTGAGTTGGATGACAAGCCAACTTACGAGGAAAAACCAATCCGCATTTTGGCCCGACAAGTGAAACAATTACAAAACCGGGAAATTCCAATGAAGAAAGTTGAATGGCAAGAACATTACGGAACCGACACAACTTGGGAAAAAGAAGAGGAAATGCAACGCCAATTCCCACACCTGTTTCAATCCTAAGGTAAAACAAGTTTGGAGGAGCAAACTTATTTAAGAGGGGGAGAGTGTAATAACCCGACCCTCGTACATGTTTTCTGATATATTTTCAGTCCTTGTTTTATACTTTTAAATGTTTATTGTAAAATTCCAAGAGAAATTAATGGTATGTAAGTGAAATCCATAGTTAAGGATGTATATCAGTTCTCCAAGAATCGTATCTGTTACACTTAGAATATTTGAATCAGAAATTAGAAGCCTTAGGGGCTTAATTATCTGAAATTGATTTTATATATGTGATCAACATAATTTTTATGTAATATTAAGCATAGCCACGAAATTTCAATTTCAGAATGATTAAACAATTAAATTTTGTCTTTATTCAAATCAATATAAGCGTGTAGAAATATCTTGAATTAAGACTTGAGAACTTCTCCATTCAACATCTCCTGGGAGAGAAAAGAAAGCGTGTGGAGAAGAGGAATTGGGGGGAAACACAATTCAACAAGAAAGATTGCCAAATTGAGGAAAGTTGTGGGATTTAAATCAAGGTAAGCTCCATCCAACCCATTTAACCTTCACTTGGACTCAAGGAAGGATGATTTCTTGTTTTGACAACTTAGGGTTTGTATTATGTAGGAATTATGGTTGATTAAAGGAGGTTTCTTATCAATTGGTTGTTTTGTCACCTAATTTAGGTGTTATGTGAAGGTTACACTTCAATCTTCAGTTTTATGCTAACCCCATGAAGATATACATATATATATATAAGATGTCATGTGTTATGAACATAAGGTCATTTGCAAAAGTGATGAAGCTTCTAATCATGTTTACTTTGTGTGGTTTAGATGATAATTCATGTTATAGTAAAGTTGGGTCAATATATTGCATTAATTTTACCTTGATTGTCATGTATAATGAGGTGATGTTGCAGAATTTTAAGTTGAAATCGAACTGCCCCAAAACAGGGACACGGCCGCTCGAGTGGAGGTCCGGACGCTCGAGCGGAAAGGAAGGAAAAATTATATGTTCTGTTTTGCGTGCTTGACCCTCTGTTATTTTTAGATTATTTTTTTTATGATCTTAAAATGGTTATAAATTCAATGGAAGTGTAACGAATCAGGACCTAATTTATCAAAGAAAGAAAGAACTAATGTGCAAGTTTGAATGTGTGCAGGACACACTCCGGGAGGAAGTAGCACGTCGTCCCAACACTGTGAGTAGTAATATGGTTTACATGTACCTAATGATTGTCATTAGCATCTTGTTCATACACGATATGTAATTACGTTCATGTTTTGACATGTGTATATAAAGAAATGGGGAAGATGAAGTGTTTTCATTCTTTAAGATTATGGGCCTTTGGCCATACGGTATAAGTAACTACATTATGAAACAAAGTGCTACACGGGACTAAGTGCTACAACGTGAGTCACTGCTAGAACCCCTGTGAGACACCTCTTGAGTTCATACAAGAAGTAA